TATGAAACAAATCTCTATTACATCATTGCTCTATCATTTTTGTATGCACAGGTATTTTAAACCACTACAGCTTTCTTAAAAATGTAAAATTTCATTTTTACCTTCTTTTCTTTTCTAACAACAGTTTGAAGGTGGAGATTAATTCGAGATAAGATGTAGGAGTCACATAATTGTATCTTTGAAGTTCAACACAGAAAGATGTTGATAAATTTATAGTAGAAGTGTGGAAGCTTTTACACATGTCGATACAGCCATCTCGTATTTCCTCTGACATTTCAATTTCTTCCAAGAATCGTGAAGCAACTGCCTGTAGTGCATCTTCAGGCCATGGCTAAATTTAAAATAAATGCTTTAGCACTTTATCAAGGTTACTAATATGAGTCTGTTACTACTGCATCCCTTTACAATTTATGACTATTGGAGATGGAGGGAGGGAACAGTATGAGGTATGGGGTGGGAGAGACTTTCACGAGGAACTTCCTCCAAGTACTTGCACGCTTTGGGCAGGGAGCCAGTAGCAAGCGCATGTAACATTAACTCTTCATGGTTTGTTCTAGATTAGAGAAATGTTCATGAGTTGCACGAGCAAGGAAGGGGAAAGGAACTAAACTTAGGGAATGTCTATTTTGGTGTGCATTTTATCAGTATTATCTCATTTAATTCTCCTACCAATTCCCTGAGGTTCTGTAGGCCTCATTCCTAAAATAGCTGCCAAATCCTTTCCTTTCTTTCTATATCTACCGCAACCATCCCAATTCAATCTCTGTTATCATCTGCCTGGAATATTCCAATAGTATCCTAACTGCTTGCATTCTCTACACAGCTGCCAGAGTGATCTTTCAAAATGTAAATCAGCTCATATTACACTCCCCAATTACAACCCTTTGAAGACTTCCAGCATTCTTAAAATCCAAGCCAGCTTGCCAATCTCTATCTGATGTGGCCCTTCCCACCTTTCTGACCTAAATTATCTCCTCCCCTCAACCCCGACACCCATTCCTGTGCTCTTGTCACCCCGATTTCTCTCACCCTCTCATTCCTTCTGTCCAGCCACTTGCCTTCGCTAGTTTATTCTCTCTGCCCAGATCGTCTAGGTATTGGCACTTTTTTATCTTTCAGGTTTCCTCTTAAAGGTTACCTGTTCATAAAGCCTCTCACTCCCTATATGCTGCCCCATACGGTGGAATTATTTTTTACTAATTTGTCTGCAGAAAGAAAGCTCAAGGAGAGCAGAGGCCTTTTCCATTTCATTTGCTTCCTCATCTCCAGCTTTTAGAACAACGCCTGCTACAAAGCAAGAAAGAGTTCAGTAAATATGCTTTGCATGAAATAATTTTACCAGGAAGTGGAGGTACAGAGAGGTTATGAAAATTTTCGAAGATTATGAATGCTTGTGTGTCAGATCCCATGAGTTTCCTACTGCACATGTGGAGGATGCATTGTGGCACAGTGTTGACACTGGAGGAAGAATTGAATTACTTTTCACTCTGAGCCAGCTGCTCTCCCTTTGCTACTTCCCTTCCTCACCCCAACCCCCACCATCCATGCTCTGCCTTTGCCTGCTCTTCTCTGTGTTTCCTGATACTAAAGTTTACTACAAAAAGCATCACTCTGGCTTCTTCCTTTTGACCTTTGTTGGGTTTAGCAAATGGAAAGAGATGGAGGGTGGAAGAAGAGAGAGGGAGAGGGTATTTAGATCTTCCTCTTTCTAGCAGTAGCTGAGTTCCGGTTTCTGGTTCCTGTTCCTATCGGGAAGCCCTGCTTCCAAGGCTCTGAGCTCTCTCTAAGCTCCCATGACACTCCTCCTTCCTCTGAGCTTTTACAGCCAGGTATAGTAACACTTCGTGCTATTGCTCCACCACTTCCTGAGTGCTCCAACAGCCTCTCTTGGCTCCCTTAACCCTGCCGACACCTCCAAGAACAGTCCCTTTCTTACGCCTTCCTCAGTGAAGGCATCAAGTGTGCTTTCTGTTTCCTGTCAGGACCCTGACCAACAGCCAAATTTACCCTAACACTTTCTATAATACTATCACATTTACTCTTAATTAAATATTTTTCTATTATGATTCCATATAATTATAACTCCATAAAATACATTATGATTAATCAGAAAATTCTACTAAACTACATTTTGGGGGGGAGTCTAAAAAATAAGTCATGATGATGACGAAGATTCAACATTTCTAGAAGTCTATCTAAAATATACATAGCAATACCTGAAACCAGTCAATGGTACAGCAGTTAATAAGAGCAGGGAACTTTCTAAGCCGATTCCGAAATGCATCTCCAATGGGACTCATGGCAAGGACCACATGCAGTTGGTTGCGGCAGCGGTCAATGAACATGTTGAACAGAGCAATGGGGCTTCCATCTGTTTGCTTGGTTTTATCTCGTTGGCGATCTAACTGACGCATCTTTTCGCATATCTCTTGCTTCTCATCTAATGCGAAGAGATTTGGAATCTCTCCGGCATTTAGCAGATTGTTGACATCTTCAAGAAATGACTCTTTTTTAACCTGAGTATCTGTAAACAGGAAGACACCCTGCATCTCACCTTCAGCACATTTCCTTAAGATCACTTTTAAATCTTCATGCCACTCAGTGTTACCATATCCCTTGGAGATTTCAACCTGGAAAACTGAATAATCAGCCATGTGGGCAGCTAATCTGGTGACAGACTGCCTTCCACTCCCTCCCACCCCAACCAGGAGAGCATGGCTGCGGGGCTGCTTCAGGATCCTGGAAATTCTGCTGATGTGCTCTATGGCAAATCGAAATAAGACGAGGTTCATGGGTTTTTTGCTTATACTGTTGTATTCTTCTAGGTGAGCTTCTACTATCACTCGAAGATTATCCACATCTGAGATTTCTCTGTAGCTGGTATCCTCCCTCTTGGGATCATGGAAATCACAAAACATTAGGCTGCGTAAGTCGTCTTCTTCCACCATTCCATCTTTATTAAAATCCAGACATTGAAAAAGCTCATGAAAATCTTCATACATATAAGTTTTCAAAATTTCTTGAATGTAGTTGATAAGCCAACTTCTGTCTGCATTATCCAGAAGGCGATCATAATATACTCTAAGGACCTGGATAATAATTAAAAAGCAGCTTTAGGAACTGATTCTTCTTCTGATTTTTTTAAGTTTTATAATTTCAGTGATAATTTAAAGTAATATAAAAAATACTCTTAGAACATTTCTATGGGTTTTATTAAAAGCATATCCAATCAGGACTGATTCATAATGATGTTTACTTTAAATATGAATTTTGACTATATATATTTGGATTAATAAACCATGATATTCAGTTATCAATAAATGAAAGGTAATTTGGGGGAGCTGAAGTAGATTGTAGAGATGCAAAGAGAATTAAAGGCCTCGAGAAGGGAAGTGACTGCCTTTGCTGGTCACTTAGATGTGGATACCAGAGGTAGGTACTGGTATCCAGGGTTTCTCAACTCCTTTCCTGGGTTATCTCCTTTTTCTAAGACAGATAATATGTTGAAAGTTATGACAAATCAACCGATATAATTTATTTTTTCAAAAACCACATTTTCTAGAAGAGGAAATGTCTTGGGTAGAGAGGAAATTGTTTGATTATTTTTGATTATTTTTGTTGTAAGTCATTGCACAGGGTAATCAACTAAAATGTTAATAAATCTCTGGTTATATGCACATGTTATGGGACTGCAATAAATAATCAGGCTTGCCACATACAACAACTATTTTCTCAAAGTGGTATGAGTGTCCCAGGGTTACAGTCTGTTTTGGACTGAATCTATTCCTCCCCAGGTTCTTATGATGAAGCCCTAACCCTCAATGTCACTATATTTGGGGATAAGTCTTTTAAGGAGGTAATTAAGGGTAATTGAGGTCATAAGGGCCCCTGATCTAACAGGGCTAGTGTCATTATAAGAAGAGGAAGAGACATTAAAGTGCACGCGCTCTTTCTCAATCTCGCTCGCTCGCTCTCTCTCTCTCTCTCTCTCTTTCTCTCTCCTTGAGGAAGGGCCAAGTGAGGACCCAGAGGGAAGGTGGCTTTCTGCAAGCCAGCAAAAGAGCCCTCCCAAGAAACCAACACTTATCTTGGATTTCCGGTCTCCAGATTTGTGAGAAAATTAATTTCTGTCATTAAGCAATATTAGTCTGTAATATTTTGTTATGGCAGACTAATACACATATGTTGTAAGCAATGCATATTTTGTCAGCAGAACTTGGAATCCTGACCCTGCTGTGCCATTTTGGGCAAATCACTTAAACCATCTGCATCAGCTTCTTCACCTATGAAATGGAAGTAGTACTATTTACGTTGCAAATCTCAGAGATTTGTGGCAAAAATGAAATGACAACATTCATGAAAACACTAAGGAATTGAAATATATAACTATTAAAAATTGCCCTAGCATCAGGCTAACAGTGTTCAGGAATCATGATTTTAGTGTTTTCACTGTTGTCAAATTGATGATTTGGTACCATCATCCCTCTTTTCTTTGTGATGGTGGCTGCACAGGCAAATGGTTTTATTTAAGCCTCCCCCATACTTCAACCAGTTCAGAAGCTATTTCTCTATGAGAAAATCTAATTTCCCAATGTATACCAGTAGTAATTTCCTTGTATTGAAGTACTAAAGACCTCGAACAATATTCCTAGGGGAGAAAGGAACTAAATTAAGTCGATCCCACGTATCAGGATTAATGCCTAAGCATGAATCAAGTATATTATTATCTGACTGGCAGTTTAGCAAGTACCTAAGGAAGTGGTTCTCAAAGATAGTCAACACACCTGCACTGGAATCATCTGGGGTACTTGTTAAAATGCATTTTCCAGGGCCCCACACTGGACCTACCTACTTAAAAACTTTCAGAATGGTAATGGGGAATATCTCTTCCCCTCCTTTTTTTCCTTTTCATTATATAAGAGACAAAAATCATAGATGTGCAGTTCAAAGACTTTTTGTACATTTATACACCTACGTGACTACTAACAAGGTCAAGAAATAGACCATTTCCAGCACCTCAGCAGGCTCCCTCATGCTCAGTCCTGCTCATACTCTGTTCTCCTCCCTCTCCAACAGGGAACCGTTATTCTATCACCATCTCTCACATTTTTAAAGGTTGACATGTAAAACTTTCTATTATAAATCTAAATAGCTGCAAAGGGTAATTTCTAGCAGATTTATATTGTAATTTGTGCTTTAACTTTCTTTACCTCAAAATATTGACTGCAGAATTTAAAAATTGAGATATAATTTACATACCATAAAATTCACTCTTTCAAAGTATAAAATTCGATAGTTTTTACAATATTCACAAAGTTGTGCAACCATCACTACTATCTAATTTGTCATCATCCCAAAAAGAATCCTGGTATCCAATAGCAGCTACTTCTCATTTCTTCCTCCCTCCATCCTGTGGCAACCACTACTTTACTTACCGTCTCTATGGATTTGTTTATTCTGGACATTTCATATAAATGGAATCAGATCATATGCGACCTTTTGTGTCTGGCTTTTTTTACTTAGCATAATGTTTTCTAGACCTCTCTATGTTGTAGGATGTATCAGTATTTTTTTAAGCGCTGAATACAATTGCACTGTATATAAATACCACATTTTGTTTGTCCACATATCAGTTGATAGATATTTGAGTTGTTTCCACTTTTGGGCTATTATGGATAATTCTGCTAATAATATTCATGTATAAGTTTTTGTGTGAACATGTATCAATTTTGGGGGTATATAGCTAGGAGTAGAATTGCTAGGTCGTATGGTAACTCTATGTTTAACCTTTTGATGGACTACCAAATTGTTTTCCATATTGTACTCCCACCAGCTGTGGATGAGGGCTCTAATTCTTTCATACCTTCATCAATAGTTGTTATTCATCTTTTTGATTACAGCCATCCTAGTGGATATGACAGGTACTTCACTGCAGTTTTGATCTGTATTTCCATAATGATTAATCATGTTGAACATCTGTTCATGTGCTTATTGGCCATTTGTATATTATCTTTGGAGAAATGTCTATTCAAATCCTTTGCCCACTTTTAACTCAGCTTGTCTTTTATTGTTGAGCTGTATTAGTTCTTTATGTATTCTAGATACTAGATACTCAGCAGATATATGATTTGCAAGCATTTTCTCCCATTCTATGGATTGTCTTTTCAATTTCTTGACAGTGTTTTTTGAAGCATAAAAATTTTTAGTGTTGACGAAATCCATTTATCTATCTTGGGGGGGGGGGTTGTTTTTGCAGAGTACCTATAGTTAACAAGCAAAACAGGTGATATGTGCACTTAAGCTTGAGAGCCATAGAAAAGCCAAAGGGAATGAGAAGTAGTAAGCCGGTTGTATACCTTGAAAACCATTTAGGTTTTCTAGTGTGGTAATGCTGTTTGGAAAGGAAAAAGATACCTAAAATAGTCTCTGACATAAATTAGACCCTGAAGAAATCTTTTTTGAGTAAACAGAAATAAAACACAAGTTAGAGAGTTGAGTTCAATCACTTCATGTTTTTTGAATGTTGAGAATAATGTGTCAAACAATGTTCTAGGCACTGCAGATAAATTAGTGGGAAAAAAAAGGGGAGAAATCTCTGCTCTCATGGAGCTTCCATGTTATCTGAGGGAGGTGGACAGTAAACATAATAAATGCATTACATAGCATGTTAAAAGTCAATGAATGTTATGGGAAGAAGGAAAATAAAACAAGATGAGAAAGACTGAAACTGCTGCGATGGGAGTGGGGTGCCAGGCTGTAGTATTAAATAGGGTGGTCAGTACAGGCCTCACTGAGAAGGAGAAATTTGACAGAAGGCAGGATGGGAGGTAGACAGAGGATCAATATTTGGGGGCAAAGCATTCCAGGCAGCAAAAACAGCCAGGAGGCCTGAACTGCTGGCGAAGGGTAGTTGAGGGTGAGAGCAGGTGGCAGCCTAAGGGGAACAGGGAATAAGATACACAAACCAGGTCCTATAGGCATTGGACTTCTAGTCTGAATTCCTATGGATAAAGGAGATTGCTACTGCAAGGTTTTGAGCTGAGGACTTAAATTCATTATGTTTTATATATCTATATATAAATATGAAGCAATCAATCTCATTAAATGCCCAAAGAGCTCAACAGCCATTGTTAAAATTCAATAATCTGACATCCAAAGCAATATTGAATCTGAAAAATGCTAAAAAGTAATTGTATATACCATAAATATACAACAACACATACCAACTACTCCCATGATTGGAAGAAAGCACTGGCGTGTATAATCCCAAGTGACAGAGCATGTTAGGTTGTAAGCCTGCCTTCCTTTCTCCCTTTATGCACTTGCTCATTCACCAATATTTATTGAGTGCTTTCTGTGTGCCAGGCACTGGGGAAAGCAGTGAAAAAATAAGGTTGCTGCTCTCATGAAGCTTCTACTGTAGCAAAGACAATAAGTAAGCCAAAAATTTAGAAGGGGAAAGTGATGTTCAGTGTAATAAAGAAGAACAATCAAGGGAAATGATAGAGCTGAGGGGTGTAGGAATGGCCCAGTGTCAGCTTGTGTGATAAGAGATATTTGAGCAAAGAGGTCAAGCCTTGTGGGTAATGGAGAATAAGTGCTCCAGGCAGAAGAAATACCAAGGGCAAAGCTCTTGAGGTGGAGGAAGCTAGATGCTTCCTAGAATAAGACTCTCTATGACTAAATGCTGCCCTCGGCAATACATTCTGCTATGGTCTGAAGTTTATGTCCTCCCAAAATTTATATGTTGAAATCCTCACCCTCACAGTGATGGTATCAAAAGGTAGGGCCTTTGGGAGGTGATTAGATTATAGGGGCAGAGCCTTCATGAATAGAATTAGTGGCTTTATAAAGGAGGACAGACAGCCACTTGCCCCTACCACCATGTAAGGACACAGTGAGAAGACACCACCCACAAACCAGGAGACAAGCCCTCACCAGACATCAGATCTTCCAGCACCTTGATCTTGGACTTCCTCTCTTCCAGAACTGTGAGAAATAAATTTCTGTTGTTGATAAAGCTACCGAGTTTAAGGTACCTTGTTATAGCAGCCCAAACAGACTGAGACACACTCCTTCAATGAATTCAGTATCATCTTCCCCTCTAGCATCTCTCCCTCTCCAGCTTTCAGAATATTTCTATTACCCATGTGGCCCACAAAGTGTAGTGCTTATGTCCATGTCCCAGAATAAGAGTCCCACCAAGACAATTAAGTAACCTACAGTGGAGTGTTGTACGAATCTCCTATCATCTTTTCCAAAGAATCAATTTTAAAGATTTTGCTGTGGCCAAAATTTCTGAGTGGAGTGGATCTTCACTTGGACACATACATGAATGTATCAGGATTCAGGAATTCAAGTTGTATATCTAAAAAGCCTAGAGAAACTGGATTTTGAAAAGACCTTTTAAAACCAGGTCTCTGTAGCACATGGTTTTAACATAGTGGCATATTCCCATTTTCTAGGTTTCTTAACTATATTATTCAAATTAAAATAACTATATTACTTCTATGTTAAAAATGGAAGAAAATGTTTTCTCCCACTTTTTCATATTCTTTGCCCATTTAAAAAATATTGAAGTATTATTTTTCATGCATTATTTTTTATATCCTCTCTTTCTCTTTCTTCCCCCTCCCTCCACCGGTTTTTATAAGAAAATGCTCATCCACATACCTATTCCCAAGAGAGCATAAATACATTTTTATATAGTTTCTATATTCTCAAACTATGAATTTGTAAAATGGTTTGCTTTGTAATTCTTTTGACGTCTAGTAAGACTACAAATAAGTAATGTAAATAAGTATATTCACCTCTTATAAAAACATCTTAAAAACTGTTTCATCTCAAAATTATTTGAAGTCAAACTAACAAAGATCAAATCACTTAAAGGAGGTTGACTTAAAGTAATATCTACTTTGAAATATCCTGTAAATCAACAGAAATTCCTGAATATGGAAGGTAAAGCATTTTAAACATCACAAAATATCTCTGTGTTAAATATTTTAAAAAATTATCTTGATCATTGGCCTTTATAATGCCAAATAGCTGAATACATTTCAGCAATATAAATTGCTGAACATTTCTATTTTTAACAATTTTTTTAATTTGGTTTTTTTTTTTTTTTTTGTAAAGGCATTTTCTCATGTTGCCCAGGCTAGCCTCAAACTCCTGGACTCAAGTGATCCTCCTCCCTTGGCCGCCCAAAGTGTTGGGATTATAGGCATGAGCTACCTACCACACCTGGTACTGAATATTTCTTTTTACCCAGTTGTTTCTTGTGTAATCACATTTCAATAACATGAAAATTTACCTCATGAACCCAAAGACGTTTAATCACATCTTTGGTTTCTGCTGTTTCCGGTCTTGACAAACAAACACCTTGAATGACACGAGAGAAATCACGGAGATTGAACAAGTAGTGAGATTTAGCTGGAGTAGGCAAGAGGTTCTTCATTGCTTCTTTATATAGGGTCATTGTGCCATTTACAATTTGTGTGGTCAAATCCAGAAATTCTTCAGGAAATTTATAGCTTAAAATTATTTTTTAAATAAAAAGAAAAGAAAAATGTTAGCAAATGTAGAATTATGATACATAAATGATATTTAGCATGACCGACATAAAATTTTAATTTTGATTAAATCAATTTGGTTTATGAAATTACCATTCCTTGTTATAATAATAGTAGATTTTTAATTCTTTTAAAGCTACTTTCTATTCGCAATTTCATGTTATGTCCAAAGAAACCTTGTGAACTAATCTGAGACAGTTTAATGAGCTTAAAACTACTTGTAAAAGTAAACAAAAGAGCCAGCCAAGAAACTCAGATTATGTAATCACAAATCCAGTATCCACTAGAGAAATGCTTCCCAGCCACTTTCATTCCCTGGCATTCTCAATTGCATATAAATAGAACCCATAAAAAAACATTGGTGAAACAGGTATTTTTCAGAGAGAGAGAAGGAAGAAAATAAAAATACATTTAAAAAACTAAGGAAAAAAGGAAAAGGAAAAGGAGAGTAAAATAGTGAGCCAAGATAAAAAGGACAAAGCTTATGATTAGGTAAAAAGAACATGGGGATGCTTGTGGGTTGGCAGAATCAACATTGTCAAAATGTCTTTGCTACCCAAAGTGATCTACAGATTCAATGCAATCCCTATTAAAACACCAACATCACTTCTGCAGATCTGGAAAAAATTTTATGCTTCATATGGAATCAGAAATGACCCTATAGAGCAAAAGCAATCTTAAGCATGAAGAACAAATTGGGAGGCATCAATTTACCAGACTTCAAGCTATACTACAAGGCTATAGTAACTAAAACGGCATGGTACTGGCACAAGAACAGACACGTAGACCAATGAAACAGAATTGAGAACCCAGATATAAAACCATCCTCATATAGCAATCTAATCTTGACAAAGCAGACAAAAGCATACACTGGGGAAAAGAATCCTTATTCAATAAATGGTGCTGGGAAAATTGGATAGCCACATGTAGAAGACTGAAACAGGATCCGCACCTCTCAACCTCTCACAAAAGTCAACTCACGGTAGATAACAGACTTAAACCTAAGGCATGAAATTATAAGAATTCTAGAAGAAAATGTTGGAAACACTCTTATAGACATTGGGCTAGGCAAAGAATTTATGAAGAAGACCCCAAAGGCAATCACGGCAACAACAAAAATAAATAAATGGGACCTGATCAAATTAAAAAGCTTCTGTACAGCCAAGGAGACCATCACGAGAGCCAACAGACAACCTACAGAATGGGAGAAAATATTCACATGCCACACACCCAATAAAGGGCTGATAACTAGAATCTGTATAGAACTCAGGAAAATCAGCAAGAAAAAAAATCAAACAACCCCATTAAAAAGCGGGCAAAGGATATGAACAGAAACTTTTCAAAAGAAGACAGAATAATGGCCAACAAACATGAAAAAATGCTCAACATCTCTAATCATCAGGGAAATGCAAATCAAAACCAGAATGGGTTATCACTTAACTCCAGTGAGAATGGCTTTTATCAAAAAGTCCCAAAACAATAAATGTTGGCATGGATGTGGAGAGATATGAATACTCATACACTGCTGGTTGGACTGCAAACTAGTATAACCTCTGTGTAATGTAATATGGAGATACCTCAAAGGGCTAAAAATAGAACTACCATTTGATCCAGTAATCCCATTACTAGTCATCTACCCAAAGGAAAAAAAGATATTCTATAATAAAGACATCTGCATTCAAATGTTTATAGCAGCACAATTCACAATTGCAAAGATGTGGAAACAACTCAAGTGCCCATCAATACACAAGTGGACTAATAAAATGTGGTATATGTATACCATGGAGTTCTACTCAGCCACAAAAAACAATGGTGATTTAGCACCTCTTGTATTATCGTGGATAGAGCTGGAGCCCATTCTACTAAGTGAAGTATCACAAGAATGGAAAAACAAGCACCACATGTACTTATCATCAAATTGGTATTAAGTGATCAACACTTACATGCACATATAGTAGTAACATGCATCAGGTGTCTGGCAGATGGGAGGGGGAGGAGGGGATGGGTATATTCACACCTAATGGGTGCGGTGAGCACCGTCTGGGGGATGGACACGCTTGAAGCTCTGACTTGGGTGGGGAAAAGGCAATATATGTAACCTAAATATTTGTACCCCCGTAATATGCTGAAAAAAAAAAGAGCACAGGGAAAGAATATTCATTTGAAAAGATTGGCTATATTTAATTTCTGGCTTGACAAGGAGCCTGCTGTCTCCTCCATCATCACTGGAGAGGGTAAGTAATACAAATTTTCTGAGAATGGCATCAGAAGCTATGATTGCCACTGGCCAAGTCAGCTTGGCTCCACAGTGTCTGTGCATCTTATGGAGTCATAGTGGTAGAATGTCCAGAGCTAGAAAGCAACATCCACTCCCATTCCCCCAAAAAAGAGGCTCGAAAGCTGTACTTATTAAACTTGTACATGGATACCCCTACAGAACTCAAGAGTTCTACTAGAGGATATCAAAGTCACAGGATAAATCTGGCACATCTTTCCAGCATTAATTGTACTCAGTGGTGAAAATTCAAAATAATTCAAACACAAGTATATCATAAAGCTCTGACCCTTTTGTGTTGTGCTCCCATGCTGGGAGGTGGGAGGAACAGATGGGAACAATGTTATCTAGGGATACTTTCATGGAAATATTTGAGAAGTGCTAGTTATATTGATATGTTTCTAAAATATTGTATACCTCTGAATGAAAAAACAAATAAACATTAAATTACTTACCAGATTTTTAAATGCCAGGTTAAGATTCTAGAGAAGATTGTAAACATGGATTTATCACTAAACTCATTGATTGTTATAATATTGAAATGTCGCATGTATCGAGGAGTTACTGGATTTCGACCACCACCTAAATATTAAAAAGCATAACTCTTAATAATGTTACTAGTACATACAAGAGTATTTTCTCCAATATTTTACAGTTTAAAATAACTTGAAAAATGGACAAATTCATGGCACACAAAGAAGTTAAGAATAATCACTTCTTTGGATAATCCTGACATCAAAACTATTTTCCCCTCAAATTCAAGGTGTTTTTCTAGTTGAATATCTGAATGAGTTCAGCTAATTAGGTATAATCTTGGGTCAGATCTGTCTGGGTTACTAAAGGAAATCAGATCAGACAGAATGTGCCATGGGCCATGTTCTCCAAGGTTCACAGCCCAAAGCCGTAAACGGTAAATATTCTCATTGCAATACAATATTAAGATGCAATATTATACAATATTAATATAACCCTGGTGAATCGGACTGACCAAACTTTAAAGTGCTTCCAATAGGCTAAAATTCAGCACAACCTTGGCATGTAGCCTAATTCTTCCCCCACATGATGAAATGAATTTCTCTAAGACCAGTCTGTGTAGGTGCAGCCACTTCACTGGCTGCTTACATGTTTAAAAGTTTGGGGATTTTTTCATAAAATAATGAAAAATTGCTTTGAACTTACAAATTTCTCTTGGAAAATATAAAGGATCTCTAAGGACTAAATATTCTTTCATAAAGTAATGATTATATTTTCAAATATGAAGCTTTAATAACAGAATTTAATGCATTTTGTAAAATTGTATCATCTTTAAAATATATAGACAAATTGCATTTGCTTTTAAAAGGATTTTATCATGAAATCTTTGATAAGGAAATGATTTTGAAAGTGTATATTTAATATATATTTTGCATAAATATATAGGTTCATGTTTTATGTTTGTTTGAAGTCAGATAAATCTTTTACTTTTATCACTGAATTACACCCTGCTGCTTCTGAAAACATGCATGTGTGAAACCGTGTAACTGGTAGCAATGAGTCTGTAGATCAAAACAGTTACGTATGTCTATGTATTTGTAAGTTTATAATGAACACTGGTTTACCTGGGCAAGTTTAAGGAGATGGTGAAAAGGATGCAGAAGGAAGGGTGAGAGATGATCTACCCCAGCTCTAAGTTCAACCGTTCCTCCCAGAGAACATTCAGAAATGGTGTTATTTTTAGAAAGTGGAAATCGGGTCCAAGAAGAAAAGATATCTCATACATTCAGCCTACTCTCTGTCCAGTGCCTGAAGAGGCAGGGAAAAGTGGACATGTGAGTACAAATGACTAGCTTGGGGTGGCTGGAGAGAGACAAAGAGGAACTGTCTGAGACCCAGGAGCAATACAGTCTTTTATTTTAAAAAAAAAAGGGTTCAAAGTGGTCCAGAGAGTGTGCCGAGAGCAATTATTGGCTCAGAGCAAATGTCTGCATTACAGGTCAGATAAAGGTGGGGGTTAGGAAGCAGATACCAGAGAAATTCCCTGAAGTGTTATATGGAGAGGAGGAATTTTTTAAGAATAGAATACCAGCTGGAGGTCAGGAAGAGAACAGTTAAAGATGCTTAGTTAGTTGCATCAAGCCATTTTAGACACCCCAGCTTAAAAAAATATTTCTCTACATAGATTCCTTTGAGTTTATAGATTTCTCTTGGAAAATGTAAAGGGTCTTTAATGGTTAATTATTTTGGCCACTTCCTACTTAACATTCTTCTTGGCAGCCTGTCTAAATCCGGAGACTGGCCAGAATGGGATATGCGTTCGGTAAAAGAAAGATGATCTCTGAAGTGGGGATATTCTATACAGTTGAAGCTTTAAGGAATGACACAGAGGAAAATGAGCTGCCCCCAGGGGGATCTGGGTTCTGAGAATGCATTAACAGGATATGGAGTGCAAAGTTCCAGAATGTGGGAGAAAAAAAGAATTTGGAAGAGTGGGCCAAATGGCCCAACCAAGGTCACTCACTTTATAGAGTTGGCCATTGTGCTATACTCCCTTAGGTCACAGTGGATACACATAGAAAACATATACACAACACGCTAGAACTCAAAAGAGATTTTTTCCAGTTATCTCTTTAGATATAGCCAGCGTGATTTTCCATCTAAATAATCACAAACTCAGAAAATGTACCTGGAGGTCCCATTGCACACATGATCTGAATGTCCACTAGTTTAATCACAGAACAATCTTTTAGGTCATACCAATTCCAGTGATCTAACCACTGCCTAAGTAACTCAATGGGAGGTTGAGCCCCATATACCTCCCGAGCAGGCATATTGACATCATCTACAAAGACAACCTGAGAATGAAAAGAGAAGTATTAGAAAATATCAACGTCTTAACACAGAGTCCCATTGTGTAAACCATGTTGAGGCAAATACTTAGATTATCTTCTTGTAGAGTATATATGTGGGGAGTGATAGCTTCTTTTCCAAGTAAGACTAATATCCTTGTCATCCATGCTTTTAACATTCCTATTCCTCTAAATACAGGGAGACATTCTTATTATTAACCAAGGACTTACTAATCCTCTCATACAATTTGTTTCTCGATATACCTTGTCTTTTTTTCCTTGTACAACACTTCAACTCATTAAAATAGATGAGAAAGTTGTGATTAAGGTGAGAAGGGTATTCTTTGCAGAGGAACACAGATAAGTCAATTAATAGCTGGGTTGTTAAATGTCTGCAAAAGCAAGCAGCAAAGACTGCTGAGTAAAAATGTTAGTGGAAGAATTAGGAAGGTAGATAATTTCTCAGATAAATATTCTACTTTCAATTCAAAGGGCAACTGCTTGTTTTTAACATCAAATTGTCTAATGCACATACAAATATGACCACACTTTTAGGAAAACTTTTTAATCAAAATATGTGATTTTAAAAGAACTATACAAAAAGATGTCAATCCCTAGGATATTTGGTTTCCTTCTTCTGGCTGCAGCAATGTATGTGAACAGGGCCAGGATTGTACCATGTGTACAGAAACAAAGAGCCATTACCATTCTCTTGCCCAGAGGGGGACCAAAAACTCCCTTTCTTCTTTTGTCCAGTTTTGACATGATAATGTTCTGAGTTTGAGCTGCCGTAGTTTGTGCCGAGAAGTTAATTAGGAGAGGTTTGTATATTTCCTTATTGAGTTGATTTAAAAGAAAATTCTGCATAACAGAAAATAATAAAATGAGCCATAGTTGGAATCATGTTTTGACATTTCAAAATAAACACTAAGCATCATTAGTGATTCCAATTTAACTTTAAGTTCATAACAGTGTATCATGAGATGGAATCAGTAGGAATAAGAGTTACCATGCCACCATGGAGTGTCTCTATCTCTCCAGGTCCATAGAATCTTTGGTTTTCACAACAACCCATTCCTTCTTAACACGGAGTCACGAGGACTCAAGAGGTTAGGAAACTCGCCTAAGGTCTCAGGGATGGGTAATAATTCATATTGCCATTTGTCTCTCTCCAGATCAATGTTTTTTTTAATACACCTTATTGTCTTTCCACTTATATACCAAGTTAACTTTCTGTAAGTTAGAAAGCTTAAATAATATAATTGTATTTTCAAAATGGAATTCAATGGGAAGCAAGTGGAATTACAATGGTACTTAA